TAAATATTGAGATAGTTTCTATAAAGGTAATAAATTAATATTTAAGTTTGATAAGTTTTGGTTAATTTGTGAAAAATATAAATTAGAATTTGATATTATATTTGAATTATATAAACTTTTATCATTATAAGAACTAATTTAAAAGTTATTAGTAGAATTTTGTGAGAAAGATAAAGATTCTTGTAAATAATGATTAAATGGATTATAAGAACAAAATCTATAGATTTTTAGTTTATTGTTGGATATTTTTTAATAATCAGAAATAATCAGAATAATTTTTATATTTATAAAAGTTTATTAATTAATGTTATTTATAATATTTTAAAATAATTATACATTAAAGGTTTTTTATATTAAATTTTATTTAAATAAATTTAATTTAGTTAGATTTTTTTAATTTGATATGATTAATAATTTTTTATTAATAATAATAAAAAATAAAAGATTAGTAATCATTAATAATCAATAAATAGATAAATACAATATTTAAAAATATCAGTATTTTTATTAATTACAATAGTTGTTTATAAATAATTGTTACTAATAATAGATAATATAAATTTTATTTTAAACTAAATATAACATTTAATTTATTATTTTATACTATTTATTTGATTTTTTTCTCTTTGATTTTCTTTTTATACTTAAAATTTTTGCTGATATATTATTATTATCTTCATTGTTTTCATTCTCATTATTATCATATATGTCATCTTCAATATTTTCTTTATTATTATCAACAATTTCATTATTATTATTAATTTTTATTTGTTTATTATTATTTGTTAATCTTAAATAACAAATATTCAAAATTTTTATTGTGAATATCTTATACTTATTTCTGAAATTTAGTATTAATAAATTAGTTGCTATTGGTAGTTGAGTTGTCATATTTTGTTGTATAAGATTAATCCTTTTTTTCAATAGCAGATTTAGGTAAAAAAGAACTTATTATTGCTTGAGAATCTGTTTTTTTTTCATAAAACTATTATAGAATTATCTGTTTCCATTTTTAAAGCTATAAATTGAAATTCTAATATTTTACAGTATAGTTGTTTTTTTATAAAAAAAAGTATCCTTGTTGCATGGATTGTAGAATTTTTCTTTGCTTTTGTTAAGGTATTTTTAAATCTTCTATATGAAGGATAAGATACATTTATCAAAAATAGTGTAAATTGTTCTTTAATAAATACAGTTTTACTTAAATCTGTAAATTGTAACCAGTTTGTAATAATTATGTATAATTCATAGTTCTCTCAAGAAGATGCACAGTAGGTTTTATTATAGGAATATATTCTTTATCAAGAGGGATATACACATTTGTTATGATAGTAACATTAATTGAACTATTTTGTATGATTGAAAATTTTCCTAATATTAAGTACATATTTTTCTCTTTAAATGATGTTGCTTCAAAATTATAGTTCACATCAAAATTAGTATTATTTTGCGAGATTAAATAATTATTGTATTTGTATATTTGAAATCCTTTATTATCATCAATTTGAAAGATTGCTGTACCTTTTAATAAGGTATCATTACTAATACTTTTATCAGATATGGCAAGAACGTATTTAATGTATGCAATCATTTTTTTATTTATTATAAAAAAAAATGAAAATGAAAATTTTATAAATTAACAATGACCTATTTTATATATTTTATTTTATTACTAAATTATTAAAAATTTCATTAGATTCGATCAGTTAGCTAAAAACTAAATGGAACTATCAAAATAGAACTGATCAATCTATACTGTAATGAAGGTAAGACATCGATGTTTTTTTTTTCTAATTATTTTTTATAATATTTTATTTTATTTTTTTTTATTTTAAGATCAATTGGATTTTTTGCTTTAGTTAAGAATCAGATAGAACCTTTAAATAGAACTGATCAGATTGTCACTATAACGAAATTAAATTGATGAATTTCTTTTTTTAATATTTTTCTTTTATTTAATAGTCTTTTATTTATTTGTTTTTTATCTATTTAGGTTTGATCAGTTCCTTTGCATTGGCTAAAAATTAGATGAAACTGTTAAAATGGAATTGACTGATCTGTCACTGTAGTAAAAGTAAGTTAATGAGTTGATTTTTTTAATATTTATTTTTTTATTTAATAATCTTTTTATTTATTTTTTTAATCTATTTAGATTTGATTAGTTTCTTTGCTTTGGCTAAGTATTGAACAGAACTATTAAAATCAAACTGATTGATTTATCACTGTGATGAAGATAAGCTGATAAGTTTCTTTCTTTTATATTGATTTTTTTATGTATATTAATTAATATTTTTTTAATGTTTTATTTAACAAGTGAGAGTCCATAGGTTCATATTTTTCTTCTACTACAATGGGCTCTTTTGCTTTTTAGCCACTGGCTTTCGAATTGCCTTCATTACTGCTTAATTAAATTTTGAATTTATTGCTATCAATTATCTATTAGTAATGTTTGCTGGTTAATCAAAGAATCATTGTAACGTATAAGGATTGATCATGCTATTAATAGGTAATACTAGTAATGGTTTTTGTTTAACTTTTATTTTAATAGCAGGTTATTTATTTTTTGTCTGGCTAGTTAATTATTGGACTACTTCTTCATTGTCTTTGCTTTTTTCTTTATCAGCATCTTCTTTATTTTATTCATACAGTGTTTTTAAAGTGGTCTTAAAGCATGTTCTAACTGTGAAATAGGCTTCAAATAAAGATAGATTTGAGAAAATTGTCATTAGTTCTGTATATCACCCTCTGGTAATGCACCCTCTAGTTTAAATACTGTTCTTGATTATTATCAAATATTAGCTGTAATAACAATTATAACAATTATAGATTCAAAGGTTATTACTTACGATTGTAATAATATTATTAACTAGGATTAGATTTATTCTAGATAATTCAAAGTATTTACTTATTGAATTTGTAGTAGTACCTGATTGAATAGTAGTAGCTATTTATTATTAAAGTTATTAGGACAATTCTTTTTAATATATCCCAGCTGATTATATAGATAATAATTAGGTTGTTTCATTAAAATGCTATAGTTAGAAATATATTCAGCTGATAGTTTGTCAATCATTGAATGCTATCATTCTGGTAAGTTATTTTTCTAATATTCATTTGCTAAATCTATTGTGACAAGTTAAATATAGCTTCATTAAGGGCATTTGTTTGAATAGCCAGTATGGTAGCTCTATACTTGTTCAATTATGCCACTATTGCATTTTGGTCTTGATAAGTAAGTTTATATATTTTTGCTCTGAAGCCATGATCTGTGACTATGCTAAAATAAAGTCATATGATCTAAATGATCGATATAGTTGATAAAGTTTACAAAGTTGACAGAGTTTCTAAAGTTGTCAACGTTGATCAAGTGGACATATTAGATAAATGGATTATATTTATTATATTTATTAATTATATCTTATTTATTATATATATTATATTTATCATAGTTATATTATTTGTTCTCTTTATTATATTTGTTATAGTTGATTTTATATTATTTTATGTTATATAAATATCTTGTATTTTCCTTTGAGTCAAAAAATAACTCAAGTTAAGGTTTTTAGATAAACTAAGAGTTTAATAAAGAAATCGTTAGATTCATTTACTATTGCCTTTTGTCATGTTTTCATATAGGTGTGATTGTGATATTGTCTTATATTTAATTTGACAAATTGAAGTAAAAGTTTATCATTTAAGTTTACAGATACTAAGTTAACAAAAGTGGTAATTTCTGCCAGGACTTCTAGCTTTTTAGTGGATGAATTTTGATCTCTACCTTATATTATAACGAAATCATATTCAATAATACTCTAAAAACAGAAGTTACTTATCAACTGATTACACTTGTATAACTTGCTATCTACCTCCAGAAGAAGTATCTTTACCATATAAACATTTTTGGAATTGGATTAGCGCTGAATTTGGTGCTCTTGTATATACTGGAAAAACAGTAACTTTGTTTGATCAGTATCGACAACATTTTAGTGAATTACAGCTTATTAAAACTCTAAAAAGAGAAGCCAAATTATTGTTATATAGTTTAATCTTTATTAACCCTTTTGACTTTAGATTTGATTTTGATTTTATTGCTATTCATATATTAAAAGAATCTTATTATTCAGTCAACTTTGAACGTCCTATAACAACTGAATTACAACCTTTAGTACCTCTCTCATTAGAACCCCTAAGAAGAAACATAATGGATACAGACCAATTTAATACCTTCATCACCCAGCTCACAACTTTATCAATTAACTTACTCAGGAAGTTCAAAATAGACCTCCACACTAGCCACCAAAGAGAAAAACTAATTTAGTTTCAGTAAAACACTTCTCAGAAAAAGTGAAGAGGACCTATCTGATTGGATTGCTCATTTTGAGAAACTAACAACTAGAATAATAAACGAATGGTTGAAATTGCTAGAGGATTCCTCGATCATATAGCTGCTAATTGGTATAAGGATATTATATTTAATCAAAGTTGGAGAGTTGCAGATGATGAAGAAGGTGCTGAAACCTTTGTGTTTAAATTCGTAAACCATTTTTCTACGATTGAACAACTAAACAAATGGCATATGAACTCAATGATATTCGTCAAGAAAGGGATGAAAAAGTAGAATCGTACTCTAATAGATTCAAGAGGTTAAGAAAAAATGTAGATCCTAATGGTGATCTACTTGAACCATATGTTATTAGATTATTTCTAAAGGGATTGAAAAAGGATTTAGTGCGATATGTTGTTGCTAGTAAACCTGCAGATATTAACAAAGCAATTTAAAAGGCTATCGACTATAGAGTTTATTTTGAAAGATAAGCTAAAAGACAAGAACGTCAAGTAGATCGAAAGGCTAGAGCTCCTACTGATGATGCTCTTGAAGCCTTAATTAAACAAATGGAAAAGTTAAATCTTAACTATGCTAATATAGTTTCAGCTTTAAATGTTCAAACTCAGACAAGACCTTAAGTTATAGGACAAAAACCAGATAAATCCCAAATTACTTGTTTAATTGTCAAAAGAAAGGTCACTACTTTAGGGAATGTGATTTGCCCCTTAAAAAGAAAAAGGATCCAAATATGATCGAAGTTTATTCTGATCTTGATTCAGAAGATTAAAAAGAAAATTATGAAGAAGTTTATGCTACTCCAAGAGTAAGGGTCACTCCATATACTACTAACAGGAGGGATGCCAAAGAGAAAAGTAAAAGGATATCTGAATCTCAACAAGAAATGAGATTAAGAAATAGAAATATAAGTAAACCAATTCCTCTTACTATTCCGATGAACATTGAAGAAGGAAGTTCCACTCTAAGGGTTAAGAAATTTTGAAGAAAAATACCACACAACTCCTCTGCTGTTGACCAATTAGCTTCTTATAATGTCGCTAAAGATATTCTAAACTTACCTTTATCTGTGAAACTTGGACAATGGTTAAAATATCCAGATCAAAGAAGAAACTTAGCTAATACTTTAAAAAGAGCTATCATTAAAGAAACTAATAATATTAACCTTGATGACAAATATATGAGTAACAATGATGATACTCCTACAACTGCAGTCAGATATACTATTCAAATTCATCATAACAATGTGCAAGCTATCCTTGACTCTGATGCAGCTATCAGTATTATTATAAGTAGTTTAGTCAAATGACTTAAATTAAAGATTGATGAACCATCAAAAATAATTATCAATACTGCCAATGGAAAAAGAGCTAGAGCTTTAGAAAAGATCAATACCGTCAAAATAACCATTAGATCTATTCGTATGCTAATAACTCTATAAGTCATTGAGTTTCCTAACGAAAACTTACTATTAGAAACTGATTAGTTTAAAAGAACTAAAGCCATTCTTGACTTTGATAAAAGAAAAGTGAAATTCAGATATCTTACAAAATCTGCCTCTGTTCTAATTACTTTTTATGATAGTTTTTCTGTTAAATTAGATGAAGAATCTGATACATCTATGGATGAATTAATTAATGTAATTGATGATTTGACTTACAATGACTAATATGAAGATGAAGATCTCGATAAATAAGATATCTTCTATTTTAATAGTGAAGAAGATTTCTCTGACGAAGAAAATTTATTTGACTTTGATGAAAATAAGCTATTTGCTAACCCTTGGAATGATAATCCAGCAGTATTCTTAGCTCAAGCAGAACAGCCAAAGTCTCAAAATAATGAATGGAATATCTAAGAGGACTTACATGTTAGACTTTTGGATGTTAATCAACAAGAAATTTTTGAGCAATTTGTTGAAAAAAATAAAGATATCTGTGTCCTTAGCCAAATAAAGATTGGTCATACAACTTTGTTTCAATATTAAATTCCTA